ATTTTTGTATACTTCATAATGAACTTCGTTGCTAAATTATATATATATAATATTTGTTATTTCAATAATTATATGGAAGTCATTTAAACGTTCAATATGTGATCCTTGAAATTTTCTCGAAACATGAGATACATAACTTACGAACATATGTATTTTGACTTGCACACACATGTTCCATATATATTCGTCAGGTAAAATACTTAATATCTTATTTATCTTCTTTTTTTTTTCTTTTTTCATTATATATAATTCAATATATTCATAGTTTAGTTAAGGGTAGATAGAACGTATTTCCTATAAACATCGTTTTTTCGTCGTTAAATAAAAACTCGAGAGAAGTAATTTACTTTTTAATCGGAAACAAAAAAAAAAAACAAAATCTTTCCAACGTATCTTTTCATTTCCTGCTGTAAAACTATTAATCAACGTTTCGAAACATCAGAAACTTCGTCGTCTCGATCGAATCGACATTGCAGATGTTCCGTTTGATTCTTTAAAAATCTTCATACCGATTTATATATATAAACACATGTTTCATTATATATTAATTATTTAATTATATATTTCTCCACCCTTTGAATGATTTATTTTAAATCTACACGAAAGATTTCAATATAAATTCATATAGATAAAAAAAAAATATTTAAATATTTCAAAGAGTAAAGAGAAAAAGAAAAAGGTTGAAATATGTCAACCTATAATGACCTAAGATTATTTCTTAACAAATTGAAACCAGTCATTTGACATACTATGTTAACCGGAAGTTTAGGGCGCATAAAACGACGACATTCGTCTCAATTGACTGTCAAGGTTAACTACCAGTAAGATTGTAATTATTAATACTCTTATGGCATCTCTCTTGCATTCAAATAAGGATAGATAATATATATATATCTATCTATGTATTCAAGCAAAAGTCATTAACTAACAATTATGCTAATCTGAGTTATATTACTCGTTGAACGAATTTTTAATGCTTCTTTTTTCTTTTTTTTTTGATAGTAAAAAGCATACATTTCGTTAAAACTTTCTCTCTCTGTAAGAAAATAATAAATAGCAAACCTTAGAAAAAAATCGAATGACGATTTGTCACGAGATTCAATAGAAACCTATAAACGAATAATGTTATACTTTTTCCAGTTACATTTCCGGTATTTCGATGCTCGGATTACCCGCAGAGATGTACGTTTACGGGACACAATTGTGGAGTATCATTATTGCCGATTTCTTCGTTTCCCTTACAATGGCCATAGTTTATTTGCCAGTTTTTTACGGACTTCAAATTACCTCCTCCTACGAGGTACAATTTCCTTTTTTTTTTT